ATTCTGTTTCATGTTCGAGCCGTGCCCAGTAAAAAAGAAATAGTAAGCTCGATAACAGACGATATAAATCACCCCTGGTTGCTCGCGAGATTGAATCGCTAATGTTCCCTTGCCTACGAGCTTGACAACGGACATCGGAAAAAAGATGTGACCATAATCTGTTGTTCTCAGTATTTGATAAACTATTTATAAAATGTTTTCCTCTATAACAATTATTATTGCATTTCCGAGTAAATTTCTTTTGGGATCGATCTAACCCGCAAGACGATACGATTTCATCGTTATCGGTAGCTCCTGCGGGTCGGAGCATCGCGGGGAATCGCAAAAACGAACGGAAGAAAGCGTAACCGGGGTGGTCAAGAAGCCAGAAGTTTCAGCCGTGGCTTCGGTATAAACTACCAGGGGAAAGAGATACACTTTTATCGAGCGCCAACACTCGCCGAACTTGCCTCGCGAGATAGAGGAACTCTCGGGAACTCGACACTTGAACTTCGACCATTTAACGTGTCTGCTACGTGCATGTATCCGGCCGTGTGATATACTATCCGTAATCTATGCCGCAGAAATATTGGCTCCAAAGGACTTACCCGTATCTTTTCAATAAAGACATGAACGGCGAACCTCTTAAGTCTTGAGACATATTTCAAACTACACGCTGAATGAAATATAAAGAGTACGAATGAATAAATTAAAATAATCAGGAATAAAATTATGGCTTCCATTTCATTTGCAAAAATCGTTTATTACTTTATTCGAAATAAGGAATTATTCACGATTTATTTTATAATTCAGTATAATCATTCGATTAAAATGATTGCCAATTAGAAATATTAGTAGAACGTTTTAATAGATAACAAGCGCCTGGAAGTGTCTTGTGATTTCTGAACGACGAGGTAAAAATGGGATCGCGTTTCATTTTCCCCGTTGATCGAAATTTCCGTTTATATTGTACGATACGACGGGAACACTACGAGAGGAAAGACGTCGGCGATTATCGGGGATTATGCTCGCCTTAAAAAAGGCCGGTCGATGCTCATCTACACGTTATTGTGAGCTGAAGTACCCGCACAATATACTTAACGAAGCTGTTTAAGTTTTAATAGATTCAATGACCCAATTCTGGCTCTACGAAAGTATATACAGCGGAATAAGAGTATATATACGATGGAACAATGGTAAATAGAGAAGACTTTGAATCAACGGAAGAGCCGAGTGCGAAAGCGGTTCGCATCCTGTCTATTAAAAGTCGTGTTAGCCGATCTTTTTCGCTTCGTTAGTCTGGATTAAAGAAAGGAAATACAAAATGATCTTACAGTAAAATGAGAACGTATTACGTTTCATCAACTATCAACGTTATTTCTTTAATTAAACTACAGCTTGTAATACCAACGGTGAACGTTAGTTATTAAAACCTGTGATATCTAATTTAGTTCATTATTTTGGATAGACAATCTAAACTAACTATACTCGTACAGCGACACAGGGAAGAATATATCATTGCCGTTAGACAATGTGATTTCCTTGACGATTCGCAAGGATTCAATTAGATCAACGCGATGTTAACGCAACAGAATTCCTGTACAATATCGGAAACGGTATGGAGTGGTTATCAAACTATTGTCCGTATCCGATATGCTCTTGACCGAGTGTAGAGAGAAGAGGGGAAGATGTAGAAGCAACCGACCAACCATCAGAGAAACGGTCATTAATTAATTAGCCCCTAAATCGGCCAATCATCGGTCTCCCGCTCGATCAATGAACCAAATCGAATCGAATGATGATTACTGATTACAGAGTTAGACCATCCGAGATACTGCATGTGGTCACCGATGCTAAAGACTAATAGATTTCTCGATCGGCTTAATCAATTTAGTACCTCTAACGAACGCCGTTTACATCTAAAAGCGTCGCGGCAACCAATTCACCGTAGAAATTCTATCGATCGAACGTTAGGGCGAGAGAGACAAGGAGAGAGAGAGAGAGAGAGAGAGAGAGAGAGAGAGAGAGAGAGAGAGAGAGAGAGAGAGAGATAGAGAGACGATGCGACGGACGAATTTTATTTTCTGGTTTTATTGTTACAAAGGAATGCTGAGAAGAACTAGCTCATCGGTAGCACGTGTCGAAGCGGTCCGATTTTATTATTCTAAACATCTCTTGAGAAGGGGGCGAACAAAAAGGAGGTAGAATTGTTCGGTGGAATGTGACAGGGAGCCAGGTGAAGTGGAACGTTCGGCGAAAAAGATCAGGACGCCCTAACGGGTGACACTGCTACGCTTATTTGACACTTCGAACGACAAACGGCCACCTTATTACCTTCCCATCGTCCTCCTTGTTCTCGGTCGCATCGCCCTCCCTTGATAGCACCGGAGAAATCGATTTCTGAAGGACCACTCTGACACCTCCTTGGTCCAGGAATTCATTTTGAAAAGAATTTTGATACGGGTTCCAGGAAGCAAGTTGCATCCTTCCGCCATGCAATATTCAGCCGGAAAACTTCGTACCTCTCCCGAATACTTTCCTATATGTACTATCCCTTTTCTATATGTCGTAAAGTCGGAGGAAATTTTAACAAATAGCGTCTCTGAATATTCTTTTCAAATTTCCAACCGGAACTTTCCGGTTGCAATAAATTTTCGGAAAATTCGTTCGATGACTCGAGCCATATTTAAATTTAATGCAATTAACCACACACACGTAAAAACATTACTGCCCGTGTTTACCTGCGATCCGAAACTCATTACCAGTAACCCGTTAATTTTATTGCAATTTATAATGCGGAAAACCATCGGCCCCCTTCCCGATCAATTTTTCGATTAAAACATCTACCGTAGAATATCCATATTCCTTCGGGGCATTCTAATGCACCGTGGATGAAGGATAAACGTGCATTACTTGCTAATATCTAATCACATCCCTAATAGGTATTGCATTAATCGCGCATGCAAAAGCGGCCGAGCATATACGGTTGCAATCCCGTTTCTCGTGAGGGGCCTATTACCGGTGAAGGGATTGGGACGATTATTAATCCGTATTTGTCTTAAATGTTAACGTTGGAGATTAATCTTATCAAATTAATCTATATGAGAATCGTATACGATTTCGTATTGTTGTACATGAATTTATTGCACGATTGAGATCATGAAACGAATTGATCTTTAATAAATTAAGGTTTCGAAATTAAAACTGGAGGATGAAGAAGTTAAAGAGAACGCGCGGTGTAGATAAAGAAATGGAGGAAGAAGCAACTATCCATGAAAAAAAGTAGAATTCGTTTGACCGCGTGGTACGAGAGAATTAAGTGAACGCGATCGAATACTACACAGTGGCCGTGTCGGAATCGCGTGCAGTTTAGTGGTAAATTGCGTTAACACGACACCATCTGGCTCATTTTGCGGGGACGCGTTCCGGGGCGAGCCGGTGGACGGCTGAATATCGGGGATAGGTATAGGGATCCGCGTTTCGCTTTCCCACGGAAAGAGAAAGAAAGAAAAGAAACGTGGAAAAATGGCGATCGTTTAGCTCGCGCGCGCAACCTCCGACTCTTCCCTTTCGCCCTTTTCATCTATCCCGGCGTTCCCGCTCGTTTTTCGATTCGGTACCGAGACAATGAAGTCCTTATCGCCGGTGGCAATCGCTTCGAAAGCCAATGCACCAGCACCCATGTATTTCGTCCCGCGCTTTTTCCCCATTTTTCAATACGTCCCCTTTTTATTTGGTTTCAACCGCTGCTTTCTGTGCTTTTGCCACGGTTCCGACGCCTCTGACCGCAAAGCGTTGTCACCAACAACGAAAGTGCTATCAACGATTTTTCCGGTAACCGATCGGTCCCGCGCATCGGTTAAGTCCGACGCTGCCCAATTCTTTTTTACTCTTTATTTCCAACCGATATTTATTACATCTTGTCTATTCCCGTGTTCCGTGTAACGTTAACAAAAAAATCCGATCATCTACGCGAGTTACAGTTCCTGGAAAAACTATTCATTCGCTTCAGCAATTCGTTTAACTAGCTTCGCGTTTCATTGCGCGTGCCGTAAATGCGAAAAATATGATTAATTGAAATTTTAGTTGAAATTCTCGCGAACGTATTCCACGGGAGACACTTTGAATAGAGTAAAACTTACACGAATATCGGGCGATTCTCACGGTTGTAGACTTTCGATTGTTTCAAGATTGTCAACTTTGAAAACTCCGCCGGTTCCGCGAACTCGGTAGAGGGGACTTTCTGTTTATCCGACGTTTTGAAATGTAAATTCTGAAGCACTTTTCGCCTCCATCTTTCTATCATTATGCCGGAGACAACATAGGATAATAGAAGCGCAAGACTCGGTGGGAACATTTACTCATGAAGCGACTGTCCTTAGACAAATTCTGCTCATCTCGCTTCTCTAACCGACTTTTCTATAAGTACCCCCGGCTTATCGAGTTAGCGGATGAACCCGAATTAATATGAAAAACTATAAGAGACCGAGACGTTACCAATTCAATTATAAATTTGCAACACCGCAACGTACTTATATTTTGCTTCGGCAATTATTAGATTATACGTTTGAAGCAAATAAATGGATTTATTCAATATTTCATCCAATGGACAAGTTGCGCGAACCGAAAACTTTGATATCGCGCCGTAAGAACGAACAGTGACGAAAGGTAACTCGATTTAGCGACGACAAGTTCGCGAGCACGATGTCTTGTTTATCCGTAGAGATGGCGAGAGCTAAACTTTATCAGTACCCCGCGGAAAACGTTTCACGAAATTCGTACGTTTTATTTAGATAAATTCGAGTGAATCATTGAGGACAACTTGGATGGTATACCTCCAGCTGACAAACCGCGGGAGACACGAATGGACATTTAAAACGATAAGAGCTATGTGTGCGTTAATTCGCAATACTAGATTTGAATACGATCGTGAAATTCTGTACGGTTTTAGAACGAGCAATTCGTCCACAGAATGATGTGTCGTTTCGGAGCCGTTTCCTCTATGTAAATTGTATGCATACCTGATAATAGCGTGAATATCGGAGAATTCCATTAGCCGCGCGTCCTATTTCCCTCTACTCTCCTATACTCCCATTCTCGGCTGGTTTCCTCCGGTCCCGCGAACATTTCGCGTCCATTTTCTTCGTATTCGTGTAAGAAACTCGTGGCACAGCACGGAAGAGAGACGAAACGGCGGAGAACAGTGGAAGACGAAACGAGTCTTAGTAGCCTGAAAGCCATATTAATAGTCAGCACTTAAGAGTTTCATTAAGTCGCAACCGCTCGATCACTGCCTACCGCTACCTCTCTCCAACAACTTTCATCCCTTTTAACTACCATTCCTATTTTCCAGTTAGCTGTACGATTTTCTATACCTGGATCGGTTTACAAGATGTACGACCGCATATTTTATTTCTAAACGCCGTCAGTTTCACGCGGGATCAAACGCGAATACATTATTTTGGAAAACCTTCTTTTCAGGACGAACAAATATCTGACCCCACTAATGAACAAACGGAAATAGCCAATGTTCTGGGTTGATAAAAAATTTATCAAGTCGCCACTGAGAAAATACACTCAAGAAACTAAAAATGCTAAAGTGATTGCACGGTGTTTGTTTCGAATATAACTACGATACGACACCGTCTACCTCAAACAGGATTAATATCATTAAATTGAACATTTGATAAGATACGGAACGAAATATTTGTAGAGAACGTTTAATGTGTATCATGAAATGTCTCTGTACAAATAACACGTTGGCAAAACTGTTAAATATAACAGCAAAATACGTTCCGCCGATCTCTCATTAAAATTAATTAAATTAATGGCAGGTTAGGTTGGGTACTCTCCGAGTGTACGCGTTCGTACGTCGCGAGATAATAACGATTAATACAAGAGGAATACTCACAGTCGATCATTTGAAAGCTGGATATCAGAATCACCGGATATTTTCTTCAAAAACTTGATAATCCCTCTCACTACACTTGCGTAACACTTGTCGATTGATGCCATTAACCGCGAGAAGTTGTCGTCACGTAGTCACGCACTGCTACCCCAGCGCCCGCAAGGTGTCACGGAGGGACGAAGGAGGGGGCCGTACCGTTACCAGATCGTTCATTGTTCTTACACACTGTGAAGTGAAGTGCAATGAACCACACGGTAGTTTGCGGTAGCGTGCGACGCAGAGTAATACGCGTCGCGTACGCCCTTGACGTTATTCCATCCTCTGTAAACACCGGTATGAATGGAGGAGTATTCATCCTTCGTAGCCGACGGTCTTAAAAATTTTGGCTGGTTTCAGGTAACGAGCGGCCAGGTACTCCACGGCCCGCGTCATTAACATCGCCCATTGTCACACGCAGGGGATTTTTTCGGCGGCGTTTCCCTTTCATCCCGGGTGCTACTGTAATACTCCTAACTGAGAAAGCGATGACAGAAGATCCGATGGGACGCCGCCGCGGCGGCGGCTACGGGCGCACCAGGGCAAAAGCTGGGAACGGGAATGAAATCTCCGCGAGAGGACATTTCATTGGTGTACCGTCCCGTTGGGAAAACAAGAGCATATACACAGGTACGACACGTACATATCTAACCGGAATTATACGCGGTGTATGTACGCGGGGGCGCAACGTGAAACACGGTTGTCGGGATGACAGGATGGAATTCACGAGTCGGCGTGCGATCTATTAAACGCGTCGAGCTAGACGATGGCTTGCCGTGTGTGCTCCGAATAGAAAATGGTACACTCCCGCGTTTTTTTTTTAAGCGCCCGTCCGACCCCTCCCCGCGTTCCTTCGCCCACCCGCCGTTCCGTTTCACTCGTTAGCAGAGCGGCGAAGATCGAAGATAATGGACGGGCTATTTTTTTCCCTTTTTAAAGACGTCTCTTTAAAACGCACGCCCGAAATGGAAAAACTGCTATCCACTCGCGATCCACGCTCGCGTGATTAATCAAATATTTCGTGCGTTACCTGCGAAGTACACGTTTACCGCTCCTTTTTGTTTCACGGAGCGTGTACTTCAAAGTGACGTACCTACGCGTGACGATTCCATTTATGTAACTCCGTGCGATCTCAACATTCATTAGATTTTATTAATTCATGAGCGAGTCGTAAATTACTCTAAACAGAAATGTTGAAGAAAGTAAGGAGACTGTTTGAGTTTGAACGAAAGCACTGACCACGTTTCAGCTATAATCTTCGCTTTGGAAATTAATGCTCGGGATTCGCTGCGTCCTAGATGAAAAACTTTCTACAGAGTATCTGATAACTTATTAAGAGATGAGGCAACTTCCGCGCTGAAGTTATCGGAAAGCTTTTGCGCGACGAAAATTGAATCTTTCGCGTGTATCCAAGAATCGATGGGCATGGAAATTAGGAACGGATAAGTTAAAGTGTGAATTACTAAACGTAACCTTCGGTTTTATGTACGTATATATTTCCGGCACTTTTGGTGGAGGGTAGCTGGTATGTAGCTCGTTGCGTCTCTATCTCGGGGTTCCTCTCTATTACGGCCGCAAGAATTTATGACCAACCGTGCGTCAGTGATTGAGATGGGCGTATCTAATGGCCCGCTGTCTGTACCGAGGATCTATATCGTTAGCTCCTTCTTTCCTCGCCTTTTTTCGCGTATACCTTCTCGTTTAAAATGTCTGAGAGAAAAGAGAGGAGAACCACGACGCCGCGGAAAAACACGGTTGGGCGTTCAGGCACCAACGTGATTTAACGTTGTTGCCCGGCGAATAGAAATACGTTGACATGTGCGGGAGCAACCGATGCATTTACAATGATTCCGGTCACGAGCCCTCGGATCTCTGATTCGAGCTTAAGGAGGTCCCGGGTACGTGTTTGTGAAACGCATGCGAACAACCGGAGGCCATCAAAATCCGAAGTCAGCGGAATATTATTACCACCGCGTATATCGCCATGGTTACCGCGGTACCGATCAATTTCGAGGTAACGACGTAGAATTTCACGTAAAAATGGCATCGAGAATTATCTGTTATATAAACGGAGCCTGGGAGCATCAACACGTCGGAATTAAGAAATTTCCACGTTGTAGCGTAGTCAGTTGGTTACGCGAGGCAATCATATGCACCGGTTGCTACCACAGTCTTGCCAGCCGATTCTGTCATAAATCACTACACCCGAGGGAGGCTAAGTCCGACGCAGCGAAATTCATGATTAACGTTGACAGTCCTGATTAAAAAACCATCACGCGCTTCATCTCGAAGGAGAGGTTTTCCGCCTTCATCAGCCGGGAAAAACGCCTTCCCTCCTTCAACGCATCGCTAATCAAATTCCATCATCGTTGAAAATGAACTAAAAAATAAAACGAGAAGAGGATTCGTAACGTTCTCACTTTATTTAGCCAGTTTGAAATCGTTCCTAATTGTACGTTTCCTTGTGTCATCCGTCTCTTGCTTGTTATTTTATTTCACCGAACCGGGAATCGGAAAAGCGAACGTAAGCGGTTTCTCCGTTTTCCTCTCTGGCTGGCCTTGCGAGGGTTAAAGCTTGATCTTCGACCGCGCACGTACATACATGCATACATACATATACGTACAGGCGTGCTACACTTAAAACGTTACGACGCGACGGTGCGCATATATTTTCAGCGCACGCGACTACCTAATAAGCTTTATTTGCCTCCGTCAGCGAACCACTATATTTAAGAGAGAATAGAACGGTTCGCGGTGGCTGTGAGACGCCAGCCAGCGTAAATATCAGCCGGCATTATTAATAACCTGAGGTAATTTTACGTAATTGAAAATGCCTAAGGAGGGTCGCGCCCCGGTATTTTCCTCCGCAGGTATTCCCCCGGTTCCACGGGCTTAATGTTGCTCTCTTTTTCTGCTCTTTGGTACACTAGCTGTCTGGGAAAGTTGGCCAGCGGGGCACGGCGAATCCCCCGCTGCGTCCCTGATTTTTCATTCCGCCGTTATCAACCTTGCCAAAAGATAGGATTTATATGTATGTGTACGTATACAAGCGCCCACGCGTATAACTACCGTCGGATGCTTCGCAAAGTTAATACGGAGCGGTTAACAGTCCACGATATTGCAACATCAATAATATCGACACAATATTCCGGAAGTTTCGCAAACTTCTCCAAGTATATTCTGTTCGGCGATTCCGTACCACGAGTAATTCAGTTAGTACTTTGCTGGCTTTACTCATCGTTCCTTCCAGCGAAGAATCGAATATGTACTCGAATCATCAATGGTATATCGTGATAAATACGCCGGCAACGTAGCAACCGAGAAAATTCTTGGTAGGAATTAATCAAGGAGCAGTAACTCTGTTACAAAATTTCGCCCTTAACCGGATTCCGAGAGCGTGGGAAGCAAAAGGGGCAGAAAATTGAACAGAGAACTCATGAAAGATGCAAAACGAAATGCAAGAGGAGGACGGTACGAGTGCGTAACAGAGGCTAAACATAATTCATCTCGCGCACGGGAACCGTTGTAATATTTAATGCTCTTGTATCTACTAAAGATACACAAGTGCCTCGAAACTAGGTAATGTCTTAGCAATTCTAATTAGTGAATGGATTTGCGTCAATTATAACCGAGCTAATTCTTCAAAATTGCTCGCCTTACACGTGGAATCGGCAAATCGTAACGCGATGTGAGTGGGACTCAGGTAAGCTTAGAGATTGCTTTTAAAGTTAGCTCAGGCTTACCTCTGTACGAGTAACAGACCGTGATAACGCATTCAAAATCGAATCTCAATGGAAGCGGACCGATTCAAGATCAGTGACTCAGGCAATCTATCATTGATCGAAATTAAACGGTCGGTTATTATTGGGATCATCGAGGCGCGCTATGTTCGCCTACTTGATTGGATTCTCGATGACAACCGCTACGCTGCTGACGGCATTCCCATCCGACTGGATAACTTCCCTGACGCAACCTATCGTTGCTCGTTACATCCGCCAACAATCGCGCTCCGTCGAGTGAACATTTCGTTCGACAGCCTAATGATCCGGAATCTCGGAGAAAAAAATAAGTATTAGACATCAATTAGGGCAGCAGTTTCGGGTTTCGTAACGAGAGGCTCGTCGTTACAGTTTCCCACCCACCAAGGTGGACGGTGGCAGAACGAGGACGTTAACACGAAGTCACTTTCGGTATATCCATAATTAACTACATACGTCAATTCTGACCTGCTATGAATTTTAATTACGAGTCTGGTATAAATAGAGGGACGAAGAAAATAAAATAAAACCGGTACCACTGTAGATTAATATATGATGCTTACTAGTTTACGGTTTCGTATTTTCGAAATAACGGATAGTACACTCATGGCTAATTTACGGTTAATATCCGGAATTACGTTAAAACGTACAGAAGTGTATTAAAGAGGCGTTTTACGTCAATTCGGTTTTAATGGACGTTTTGGAAAGTACTTGCCATTAAATATCCGATTTCACAACAAAGCCATGAATCCCGGCAATATGTATGTAATCCGAGTAAATAATCAGATTTCAACAGATTGTCCACTGTTTCCCTTACACTCATAATACCGCGAACTACACGGGTAGATAATTGGCTGGAGAACTATTTAACGCAACTTCCGGATAATTACATTTTCCGTTTTATCCTTTTCTTTCTTAATCTAATTAGATTATGGTAATAGATAATGGAAGCGACGGGCGGGGTATCAAACGGGATAATTTATTTACAAGGGTTAACCACTGTAGTTCCTCGATTCTCGAAACAATTTGCATTCTTTACCCGATGAACTGATATAAACCGAGCAATTCAGGCCGCGAACAGTTGATATCGGAGAGAAAAAGGAGGAACGTTAATGGTTTCGAGAAGAACGGAACGCAAATGGGATCCAAGAAATTGGAAAGATTAACAGAAGTAGGTTGATCCAAATAGGAAAAGCTGTTTGTCGCTGGTATGGTCGCGGCTAAGGCCTCTGCTCCGGCGGCATGGTGGTAGTTTAATTAGAAAGCACACGAGTAAGAGAGAGTGGAAGAGGGGGTACAGGCGGAGAACGACTGGTTGGCGGACGTTTGCACGGTTTTGAGATCGACAAAGCCGAAAACAATCGTAGCCAATGTCCTTGGGGCCCGCAGGCTTTGCCCGAGAAATTAATCGGGACGCCATGCCGGGAGCAAACAGCAAAGCTCCGCATTTACTATACTATCGCCCGCCCTGACCCTATGTTCGGCCGATCCGATGCGATTCGATCCGATCCGATCTAGTACAGCTGCTTGCTTGCTCGCTTGCTTGTTTCCCCTATAGTTCCGGTGACGACCACGAAAACAATGCCACCGGAACAGCTAACTCCATCGGCACTCTTTTGCTTGGCCCCGAGATACCAATTAACGACTCGTTCAATCAATGAAAATGACTCGCCGCCGCTGCATCAGCCGGCGACATTACCAGACTCCTACTTTTTTCCCCGACGCGCGTACACGACCGCTTCTCGGTGATCCGATCGATCCGATGGAACGAAACGAAGACACGCCGTGTCGGACAGAATGTATTTCTAATGCGACACGACCAGAAATAGTACTCGTCCCACGGAGAAGGAGATAAATTATTTGCGAGCAAAAAATTATTTAGCGAACTGCTGATACCGTGACTGATCGAATTAATCAAGCGTTTCACAGCGAAGGAACGTTTATGTTCTACAACGGTACGTTCGTGCATGGATCGAAGAACTAATGAATCGGATAATGCTTTTACATGCACTTGCGGAAGCGTCGAATATCGTCTAATTAATTCGATTGAAAACTCGGACGAGTTGCTTTTACTCGCGCGGCTATCCTCTGTACTAAACTTTTACTTCCTCGATCCGTGTTTCAATGCCAACTCTAGGAACAATGCACTCCAATAACCGAACGTATCGGTATTCCAATTGGGTTTCGAGATACCAATTCGTTTAACTATTCACTTCGGTAAATTGTCGCCCACCAAGCTACGAATTAAAAAAACACAATACTTTCAGGAAGATTCGTGTTTCATTGATTATTTATTCACTTTTGTTCTGAAAATTGAATACTTCTCGTACTTTAGTTAGTGCCGCGAGGAAAAAGAAATACGGACAGTATAAATGCGAGTTCTTTAGAAACGGTGATGAATAAAAATTCAAGCTTAAAGCGTTGGATTAGAAATTTGAATAGGAAGATGTAACCACTGCTGTTAGATGATTTCGAAGGGTCGCGGATAGAACCGACGGCGTGCGAAAGCCATGAGAGTGGTTTCCTGAATTTTGCATACACTCCACAGAAGCAGCTGCATAGGGTATGCAGGTATGCAATGCGGGAATGCTGCATACGACCTTAATTTGGGAAACCGGCAATCTCATAGTTCCTGTTTGAAATCCACTGTTCCCGAAGGTTTACGGTACATCACGAGCCCTGATTAGCTGATGCCGACCCAGTCCGACGCACTCAGATCTATTACGCGATTCTTGCATCTTTTTAAGTGCTACTAAAAATATCGATTAATCGAACAAGCGACAACGTTTTTAATGAATTAAGAAACGCGATCCTTTATGACAAAGGAATTTCTTATTGTTAGAACGAAACGTAAAAGCTTTTGATGATAACAACGTCTCTACGGTATTGTATCATATCCGTGTATTGTAGGGTTATCGGTTTAGCTCAAAGAACAAACCGGTCAAGCATACTTTGATTTATCAGTGTGTCGGTATTTGCGGGAACAAGGAGAATGGCGTGGCGGAGACGAAGGGTGAAGAATGGATTGGCCGAAGAGAGTTAATTAGCTCTCGCCATAATCTCAATGGTTTTAGACCACATGCGCATGGCTTAACGCGCGTTTATTGCATGCAGCTGGAGCTTGCGTGCATTCTCGCGTTCTATCCCTTTTCGCTTCCTGCGGATCTGCACAGACACGAGTCCTTTTCGCCATCATCCCCTGTCTTTCCTGTCCCGGCTGAGCTAATAACCCAACTACAGTGTGTCTAGCCTTTTTTTGTTCCATCTGATTTCGTGATTAACGGTTAATTAATAATCTCTCTGCGCGGATTAACAACAGCAACATTAATTTTTCTACACTCGTTCCTTGGTAAAATAATTTCCTCGTACGTCCCTTTAGTTTAAAAAATAATCGAGCAGGATAATAATGTAGAATATTTTAGATTCTTCGTATGGAATCGTTTTACATTTAGTCGTACAATCATTTAAAGAACCACGAATGTCAGAATTTTTTCGCGCAGTTCCCGTGAAGTGAGCTATTAGCCACAAGCCATTGTTTTCTGAAAACGACTACGCATCCCCGTTTCCTCTTTCACCTACAATGGCCGATAATACCTGCTGTATACAAAAATCTTAGGATTACACAGCTGCGCTACTATCCTCCATTGTAGTGGCAATTAAAAGTTGCGTACCGCTGAAAGATAGCTACTTTCATAAAATACTGTTTGGTTGAAATGAATTTTCAGTTGCCCATTGTATTAGTTATGCACGACTGCGAGCGAGCACTCCCGGTGCAAGTCATGCGAGCGATTCGAAAAATTTATTTCGCGCGCGTTATCGCGTTGATAATCGTTGAATTGAAATAATTGAATGGTCGTTTAAGGAACGGCGGGATATTTTCGTAATTGATTCTCGAGTAATAACTCACGCACGCGGAGTTTTCACTCGCAAATAGTCAGCTGTTCGTTTCCGGCACGAGCTTTTGTACGATAGGGGATGAGTTATTTCAAAGTACGAGTTTGTTAACAGTTTCTAAACGTTATTTCTAGCATCCTATCCGAGCGTGGAAAATGCGTCAGTTTCAGCTGCGAAACTTACGCGTCTACGTGTTTACCTTTATTCGATCAACCGAAACTGGCGCGATTCTTTTTTTACTTTACACTATCCTCCCACGTTTCACGAATAAAACTAGCCGAGGTATTCGTGTATTCTTGTGGCGATTATAAAATCTTTCCGGGAAACGTTTTACGATTAGTAAAAATTACTTAATGGAAATAATTGAACAGGTGATAATATCCTCGGCAAGTGTTAATTTACAGTAAGTCGAGGTGGATTTGTGTCTGGCATAACTTGTTTGTAATGACTCCTGAGTCTACGAGAACTGTGGAACCTATAGACGTTAATACCATAACTAGGGCGTAGTTAATTGAGTGCGATGATGTACAAATAGATATCGTTGTGCATAGCGTGTTGTCAGCAGTTAACACCGATCTTATTTTCAAAATGAACTATTTCAACATCAGCGTCTGAACGACAAAAACGACATGATACTATTTGTCATTGAACAAAATTTAATTACACATTCTCGGCTCCTGCGAATCATGAGTGAAATCATATTAATCTAGTGATTTCGCAATCGATCGGAACCGATTCGTAAAACTCTTTTTGTTTAATAAATGGGCAGTTCGTGGTCAGACAGAATTTAAAAGAGATTAATACGCGTCGTTTATAAAATGAGAAACGATTTCTCTTCGGAATATTCCGGTCTGCCGAGCTCTCTTAAGCGTCCCAGCGGGTGTTCATCGGGCAGTTGTCGTTTGCCAGGTAGCGTCGCGTCAAAAGAGCGTACGTATTATACATACCTAGCGCAGGTACAGGTGACGATAGGCGTCACGGGGCGATCGAGAATGGAAATACGAGATCCGTCGTGACGCGGGCGAGAAGAGGGTGAGCCTTGGGTGCACCGGGTGCTGGGCGAGATGAGGCGCGGCGCGGGGTCGAGGCGTGGCGAGGCTAGGCGAGGCGAGACGAGGCGAGTCGAAGCGAGAACCGGAGGGATACCGTGAAACGTGCCGGATGATTTGAGAGGGCCGGTCGCCTCGCCGGCTAGCGCGAAACCCAAGGGCTGAAAAGCGTCCCGGGAGTGGGGCACGGCGAGGAGCGTCGCGACGCTTCTCGGTGGCGGCGCCGGGAACTAAAACTCCGGGCGGCGCGACGCGCCAGTATTCAGCCCGCGATCGTCGGGAGCGTACGTGCGCTTTCTTTCAGGTTCGCTGCCACGTACCGTACGTACTTTGTTCGATGTTTCCTGTTCCGGCTGAACGGCTGTACACGAGCGCGATTTATACGCACGGCATTGGTGAACGATCGCGAGGGCACGAGCGAACCGCCCCTACGTTTTAAAAACTGTTCACGCCCGTTTACGAAAGTGGATTTTTCTCAACGACACCCGTATACCGGTGAGACGACGTAATTGAAGATTATAATTAGTGATTAGAGTGGAATGTAGACGTTACGCTGTTCGAGATTGCGAGCTCTTCTTCTCTCTTTTTTAAATTCTGTTCAGATCTCGTTTCACGTCTTATTACAGTAGACATTTCCCTTTATTGGAAATACTCTGATATTTCTGCTTTTTTATGTCGATGGAGCGAACCGCGATAAAACGAGTCGCCCGCTGTTTTTTATCATTCGCTTCAGTCGTTTTCTTTTTTTTTTTTGAAGGGAGATTTCGATGGAATAAGGATGATTTAGTTTTCTCGATATAATCGAACATCGCGGTTTTAAATCGAGGATCGTAACTGTATTACGGGATTCTATCGTTGAAACGAACGTTTTATGTTTTTTTACGCATGATGTATCTCTCTTTTTATTCTTTTTATACCAATCTGTTCCCTTACGATTATTCTTCATTCGCTCCGATATACATAGAAATGTACAAAGAGGGATTCCTCGTTGTGTAGCACAAAAGAGTATTCTTCTTGTTTTCAACTATTTCGGTAACCGAGGAATTCCTGCAATTTTGAATTCAAAAATTCGCCAAAATCTGTCTACGTCCTAAATTCTCCGCCACTTATCCATTGGCGTTTCGAACATGCTTGGCATTTAATAAAATGAGGCATCTCTTGTTTATGCAAACGAAATTCAACGGGATGCAGAAATTTCATACATGTCTAGTTGTTTTATAGATATCATTATTTTTCCATATATTTATAATAGACTTCAGCGAAAGAAGATTGATGAGATCGATATTTATCGATTCGTCTTATATCGTAGATAGAATTATAAATTTAAAAAAATTAGGGAATCATTGGTAATGATTAAAGATTTAATCTGCCTCAATGACGACGGTTTATCATTTTGTCAGTAGATCGTTGCACATAAAGGAGGTACCGACAATAGCCGTCCTCTTTGCTCGTTTTACTCCACGGCGAACTTTTATTTTCGTTTCATCGAAATCAAAGAACCACGAGCATACGTGACCTCGGTTACACCGTAGCTGAACCGACATCCCGCCACCCCCTCTTGGGCCATCGCATCGCCGTGATTTCATTCTCGCAAGAATCTTATTCGTAGGTCGAATCCGTCGCGTAGAGATTGGTAACAGGTCCGTTGCCGCGGCTTAACGAGTTGAACGAGTTTTTTCTCTGTCGACCGTTCGGTAATTGGGGATCCAGTGGCACACAGAATTTCCACCGACACGATACTTTTATCGATGAATTAATCCGTATTGATTCGAGTGGCGGAACCAAAAAAAAGAGGGAAAAACTGTGTTTTTTCGGCATACGAGTCGATGACACTGACAAGTGTTTTCCAAACGCATCGCGAGCCCCTAAATTTCCATGGACCATAACACGCCACCGATCTCTATCTTCACGCGTACGAACAAATCTTTGTCAAACTATCCGTTATTCAAGACGTTATCTTCCTATCCAGAGATTTTTAGTTCTATCAATTTGTTATAAATATTCCGGGCCGATACGCGTGGGAGATGCGTTCCTATCGCCTTGAACCGTATAAATCGCGCGCGATCAAACGCGGCGACAAAACCGATAAATAAACTTGAAGTGTACGAGGCGAAACTAGAAAAGGAGAGACCGATCGCCAATATTATAATACGGATCTATTTTAAATACGGCGAATTCATTTGAATCATAGAGTACTGTAGAGAGTTACAATCTCAATATCTGCGTACACAGTACGTTTGATATCGAAAAATCTGTTAACGAGTGTAATTGATGTCGCTTTTGTGTATTTATGCATCCATAAAAGTGATTTTATTCAGCTTGAAAATCCGCGATATAGTGCTCGATTATATTGCGCAATGATTCGTTTTATCCACTACCGAAACAGATATCTACAGTTTGTCAAATAATTCTAATAGTACCTCGCGTAATTGGTCGATTACCCGAATCCAAATACAATAATAAAAAATCTTTCTCAAATTTTATTCGCAAATTATGATTTTTACTACCATCTCATTTTTCTTGTAACTCTCGGATGCGGAACGTGATCCACCGTGAATTTTGTGGACGCAAACAAGTACGCTTAAAAAAGTTACGATTTGGTTATTCGAAGCTCGACGAAATTCAGCACAGTTTTTTCCGCATCTTTCCTCGCCGTTATCGGTTAATGAATTGTTGATATGAAGCTCGCAATTATACAAGCGTGATAAGCAAATATTGTATTACGGGATAACGAAAAATAATTGTTTTCTTTCAATCAGCCGCGATATGCTGGCGAGGCATTTAGATTGTTTAACTTTTTTGCCCGACGAATTATTAACACAGACGGTAGAGATTCGTCCTGGCCGGCTGATCGTGCACACTTTCGGCCGCCAATTAAGAATTAACATCAGTAACGATTCGTCAACAAATTTTAAATTGTACGACCCGACGGGTCGCGTTAATTGGAGCATTCAAGTTTCGCCAGTTTTATAATAGAATGTTTTATGAAACGCTATGCAAATGTCCGGCGCGCATTGTTGAAGTTGAGAAACTACTGAAAGCTTAATTATTGTTCAGCTAGCCCCCACGGTTATTTGTATGATAATTTATAGTTGTACTGGTAACGCGGATAATATATCGCAAAAATTATTGATTACCCCTCCCCGCGGTATCGGCACAATTTACGTATTAGATACCGCGTTCGTCAAATGCGGAGTTGATTAAATTGTAAATTCGTGTGCGCCTACCGAAGAACCCGGTGATCTCATTCGGAAGAACGGCGTAGGGTCAAATAATAACGAACGATCCAGCGAATTTCGATGAGGTTAACGATATCAGTTAAACCTACGGGCGAAATTCGAACCGGTAAATCCGACGCCGACGCGAAGCGTACAAACGCTGGCTGGTTAATAAGTTGTTAGAAGTGATGTTTCTCTCTTCGTTAAATAACCTGGACAACGTCGGTACAGCGCGACGAGCCAAGTCCCCCTGGGCCGTCGGCCGTATTAGCAAATTCGATTCGGTGCGGTAACTTCCACCAGTGGAGCACCACCGTCCGGCAAGGGGTAATGCGGACGAGGCGAGCGGTGGTGTGGACGTTTAATAAACTTTTTCGCATCCGTGAAAGTGACCCCGCGGCTCTCTGTTCACGCTCGTTGACGGTTCCCGCCATCAACGTCACGCGAGACAACGAGCTTTCGCGCGTTTCCATTTCCGCCCGCCGATTTTTAACGCGTTCTTCATTTCTTAAATGTACGTCGCCTGCTCATATCTTAAGGATGTACTGGCTATACAGTCAATCCCAAAAGTTTGTGTACCTTAGAAAAACGCATTTTCGATAATTAAAAAGAAATCAGACGTCTGAATAATAATGCTAATAATAAATAGCTGCGTGCTAAAAAGTATAGAAGGAAATATCCAATTAAGTATTGACG